AAGCAATGCACCCCTTACACACACTCAATGCATCCCTTACAGACGCACTCAATGCATCCCTTACAGACGCACACACTGCATCCCAAATATACACAAACTCACCTTGCAGCCCTTACACATACAAACACAGATTCACACAATGCACTTTGGGCGGACTCGGGTGCAAGCACCGGGGGGCCCAGACCTTGAGCTGTGTCAGGGTCCCCACAATTTCTGATGGCAGCCCTGCCGGCAGACCTGGGTAAGTTATCAAACTTTTTTTAAACGGTTTGACTACTTACTCTGGGAGGGCACCACAGCAACTCCTGGCACCAAAACCACTACAGAGAGTTGTAGTGGTTATTGTGCCTGGATTGTTTCTTAAAATAATCTGCCAGTGTCCCTCCCGAGATTAGCTTCTGGATCTGCCACTGTGCTACTGGACCAGGAAGTACAGTTGTTAGTCTGAAGAAGGACTGGACTGGTCTCTGCTGTCTGCGGGCATCCAGATATTAGTCAGCCCGCCTCGCTGCTTCAGTGAGGGAAGTGGGGCTGCGATCCTTTACCCACTCCTGGATGTCTGGGGTCAGCCCATTGAAGAATTGCTCCATTAGTGTCAATTGTAACAAATCTTCCATGGTGCTCGCTTTTTGGGCTTTCGCCTACCCCAGAGCGGCCCGGTGCAGTTGGCAAGCCCATTCAGCATGGGAATCTTTGTTAGCCTTTTTCAATTCCCTGAACCACCGGCACTATGCCTCTGGTGTGATGGCATACCTGGCGAGTATAACTACTTTCACTGTACCATAGTCTCTGATTTCCTCATCGGGGACGGTGCGATAAGCCTCTGCCGCCCTCTCTGATAGTCTTCTAGCCAATAGGGGAACCCACTCATCCACATCAATTTTATGTAGGGCACATTGTCTTTCAAAATCCTTAGCTTGGATCTGAGTGCTCAATATATCTGAACAGCGCTCAGATCCCACAAACAGAATAAAATCGCCATGGGGTTAAAGTTTAGCAAGGGCTGATTAAAGATTGGAGAGGGACAAAGCAGCCAGTTTAAGCTGGTCTGGCAGTGTCCCTGGGACAATGCCCTTGTGACAGACCCATCTGTCTTTAACATACTTTTATTCCTCCTTGGTTCGTCTGTTTGTTCGTCTAATTGACTGTCCGTACAGCCCTTTCATTTATTTACCCTTTTCCCCGAATAAACTGCCTAACAGCCGGCCACTCAGAATGGAAGTGTGCTGCTGGTTAACCTCTTGGCTTCATTAGAATGTTGTGGTTAAGCGCAGACACTTCCTAATTGTCGAATGTTGGCTGAGTGGTCGTTGTTCGCATGCTGACCACGAGGCGGCGGCCATCTTGGATGTATGAATGCCCAGCGGTGTTTGTCGACTATTTCATGGAACTAAAAACGGACACTATTTCTCACAAAACGCTGAAGCCGCCGTCCTCCCATCTTTTGATCATCTCGCATACGAACGCTGACCTGTTCGATACTTTGTCTACACGAATGGACTTACCCCGGATAGCTAAGCCATGGAGCCCATTCGTATACCGAAAGACTATGTGAAAGACTTTGGCTCCATGGCAATTGAACTGTATGTATAGGATCTGAGCGCCATTCAGTAATAATGTGCGCTCAGATCTAAGCTATCTGGGGATACGTTAAATGTGTATAGTGCATTCGGTAGTTTGCAAGTTACATATTTTTATGTAATTTTATTGTCATACCTAAAATTGAGTTTTGCCTCTGTCCTTGGAGATAATAGGATTACTTCTCAATTATCTCCAGGATAGAGAGGAGGGTTCTGTACAATAAAAGGTGAGTGTTTATATAAGTTTATATAAGTGTTTCCATTGGCTACTGCATTATATTTGTCACAGTTTTCCCACCAGGTCCCCCAGGGGAGTGTCCACCTGGTGGAAGTCCCTCATAAATACCGGGCAGGTAGCCCCGATTAAACAGATCACTGCTTGACCCTCAACACGGTTCTTTGTCTCTTTCTTGGGGGATTTATATTTGCATGATTTCCTGTTCGGCTATTTGGTTCGTGGATTATTTTGTATATTTCCTGTTCGGCTAATTGGAGATTTTGTTAGCTGCTTCTCCATTCGGAAGGTGAACGTCCTTAGCGATGTTAACCCCTCTTATACATGGGTGTAACGTAACAGCCCTGCTGGAGAACAATGGGACAAAATGGGGGAGGTGTATAAAAAGTGTGTTACAATCCAATGTGCCCAAATAATGTTTATAAAGGGCACAATCTCCCAGGGGCCATAGTCAGAAGGCAAGAGGCTGGCAAACAGGCCCCTCCAAAAACCAGTGGCGAGGTCACTTTCACCACATATCTCCCCTTTGGGTGGTAGACTAACCAGGTACCTGACCTTCTGTTGGTCGGTGCCTGAGTTAGTCGGACAACACACCCACAATAACAAAGTACAAGAATAGCCCACCCACAACAAACTGTTGCTTGGGGGGCAGAGGCCAGCTGCGCTCTGCCCTGATGTCAGCGTTTCTGCTGGGGTAGCCTCGTTGGGCCTTGACTTGGGAGGGGAAATAGCACTTAACCCCTCCTCCTGGTATCCCTGCGAGGGTAGTTGGAAATCTGGACAGGCTGTCCAACATCCTGGAAGGTCAGGCACAGAGACCACGGTCCCATCTGTACCATCTCCCCTTTGTAGGGTAAGCTGCCGCTGGGGAGAGAGGGCGATATACTCCTCTCCCTGAAGCACATGCTGCCGCTGGAGAGGGAGACCGACCATCTCCACTCCCAATAAATTGTCCTGCTGCGGGGAGAGAGACAGACAATGTCTCTGCTCCCTGTAGGACACACTGCTGCTGGGGGGGAAGGACGACACCTTGGGCCCCCTGGGGTGCATACTGTTGCTGGGGAGTGAGACCGGTTTTCTCCACTCCCTATAACACACTTTGCTGCTGGGGAGAGAGACCGACTGTCTCCTCTCCCAAGGATACACACTGCCGCTGGGGAGGAAGGATGACACCTTCGGCTCCCTGGGATTCGCACTGCTGCTGGGGAGTGAGACCGATTGTCTCCACTCCCTGTAACACACCCTGCCACTGGGGAGGGAGGATGCTGCTCTCCACTCCCTGCAAGGTACACTGCCGCTGGGGAGGGAGGACGATGCTCTCCTCTCCCTGCAAAACATAATGCCGCTGGGAGCAGGACCCCTTTAACTCACCCTGCCGCTGGGGAGGGAGGACGATGCTCTCCTCTCCTCTCCCTGCAAAACACACTGCCGCTGGGTAGCAGGACCGACTATCCCTATTCCCTGTAACTCACCCTGCCGCTGGGGAGGGAGGATGCTGCTCTCCACTCCCTGCAAAACATACTGCTGCTGGGAAGGGGGAACGATGCTCTCCTCTTCCCAGAACTGTTTCTGCCGCTGGAGTTCCTCCCAGCATGCCAGCTGGCCTTCTCTCTCTGCCCATTATTGCAGGACTCCAAACACTTGGTTTCTCACGAACTGCACAGATCTCTCAGCTGGATTGGGTCCCAAGTACTTCAGCCGCATTTTTATCACAGCGTCAAACTCTTCCATAGTGTGGCGGTACGTCATGCTTGCTGTAGCCAGGGGTGCTGTATGGGGCAAAGCGTTGCCCTCAATTTGTAACTCCACGAAAGGTGTCTCTGAGCTGCTTTACCTTGCACTAGGACGCCATCTCACCGCTTGCCATCAATGTAACGGAGCTCCTAGTACTCCGACCGAGTACCTCCGTTGATGGATGCTCCTAGTGCTTCCCGAGGACTCCAAGCACTCCACTTGACACCATCAGCACTGCAGACCGAACCTCTCTTCCTGCAGAGAGCGAAAATCCTCCCCTCTGTCTGTGATATAATTAGTGAACACAATGGGCTAACATAATTATCACAGGCAGGAAAATAGACAGTTTTACCCAATATTCATAACTCTAAAAGTGTACATCACATTCACATAATATTTTCAGAATCAGCATACTTCAATACAAACATACCCAAAAATCATATAATTCACTCAAGTAGTTAAAAAGTTAGCTGGAAGTCCTTTTTGACCGACTGCAAACATGGCTTGGGTGTGGTAAACCAATTATTTCCAGGTACAAAAAAATCTCTATTCACAACAGCAAAAATACACAAAAATACATCATTCCTATCATACTGAACAGAACCCCCACATTCAATCTATCCCCAGATAGCATGGATCTGAGCGCTCAATATATCCAAACAGCGCTCAGATCCCACGAACAGAATAAAATCGCGATGGGGTTAAAGTTTAGCAAGGAGAGATTGGAGAGGGACAAAGCAGCCAGTTTAAGCTGGTCTGGCAGTGACGTTGGGACAACACCCTGCTGGAGAACAATGG